CACAATATTTTTTAACGGAAACTGCACCAGCAGTTTTTCTCAACTATCACTAGGGAACAGGCTGACGTCACGGTACGTCACGTTGCCATGGCAACCGTGAACGCTTATGCAGATGGATTTCGCATTTCAAAAATGATATTCACCTATTCCTGAATCATACACAGCAAGTGACACAGGTCAGGATTTGAGCGTCAAGTACCTACCGCACCGCTAATAAAGCTAGGTTTTTAATTTTTAGATAATAAATAATTGTGTTTCGAAACTATTTTACGATTGTTTAATTAGATGTCGCTACTGCGTCCGTATTGAAGCCATGTTATTGTTGCTTCTTAAAAGGCAGAAAATATTGATTTTTTACGTTGAGAACCCCTATGAATAGCTCTTCTGACGAGACCTATTAGGTCGAAATACGTATCAAGAGATACATAGGATTTGTTTGCGTGAAATCAAATATTTGCTGCCTTTTCTCATTTTAATAAATAATTGATTTCAGATTTTAGATATAATAATGTTGATTTTATTTTTTAGTTATTTGTCTCAATTTAATTATATTTTTTTGGTGAACCTCACCTCCACCTATTTCACCTGGCCGGCCGCCGCTGTCTTATGTTATTAAAATGAAGTGACCTATGAGATAATTTTTCTAGAAACTCCGGCAAACTCTGTACCGCTTTAGAATTAAATATCGTGTCAAAGTTAAATAATTTAAAATTAACAGAAAACAAACAACAAAAAATACTCAAATGTATTATTTATGCCAAAACTTGAATCAAATTAGTTAATTCTTTATTGTCATGGCAAAAGCCAAACGCACAAGAAATTGTACAGACTTTAATCAAATTGTTAGTCCGTTGAAATCATTGGTATACCCGGGATCAAAAATCCTCTCATTTGTATTTTTGCTTGATGATCGTTGCCCCAATGACATTATTCATTAGCTTTTTTACAGTCGGTGTCGTTCAATGGTTATTGAACTGTTGATAAATCAATGGTTATTGAACATAAATATGTGTGTGTGTAATTACTTACTAAACTAATAAGTTTGTTTGCAGGAGTTGATAGGGGAATAATTGCAAGAATCTGACGACAATCACCTGACAATAGAATCATCGCTCCACCAAAAATATTTTGATTTTCATGAATATCTTTCAAGGTTCTGCCCAGTATCTCCAATGACCTCTTGAGTGTCAATCATTAAGTATTCGTTCCAATCGTTTATTTGCATACTTGCAAAGAATATGCCATTATGCTGTTCAGAATGTGCAGTTCATCCGCCTTCCAATACAGTTACATGTATTCCAGATAACGTAAACGCTAGGACTTTTACAATAACTTCTTTACTAATAACACTACAAAAAATAGTAAAAGATTGTACTTTCATAGAGTTACAAAGAAAATGAATAACGTATTTGTTTACTGTTAAATATTAATGGTGCGTAATGTCTGACGTCACAATGGGTGGGGTTTAGAAAACCTTTCCAAACATTTCTAATTCTTGTGTATTTGTCCCATAAGAAGTTAAAAATATGGGTTTTTTAATTATTTGAAATGTAAATAAGGACTTTTGGTTATAAATGTTTATTCTGTTTGATTATTATTATTTGTTGTTCGTGAATTTGTGAGCTAAGAATATCAAATTATTAAGATATTTACTCTTAATATTCATGTTTTAGGATTTTGTTTGATTAAAACTTTTTTTATTTTTTTTTCCTTGGCTTGGACAATAACTTTAATTATTATTTTTACTCTATTTCAATGTATTTTGTCATTGTTTTATCAAAGTTATTTTAAAAAAAGTTCAATAAATCATTGAATTTATTTATGAAGGTGAAAAATATTTACATTATTGTTTTATTATTTTTTGTTGCCAGTGATTTTATCTTATATAAGACTAAAGACACTTGTTTTCTCGTAGTTTAAGTAGTGAACAAGGACTTTTAGTGGTAATTTAACATTCTGCGGAAACGTCTTTCTCTACGTAACAGCGAAAAAGATGGTAATTTTCAAAGGTGAATCGTAGATGCATTTCGAAGTAAAAGGATACTTCTAGCGTCGTTAAAATCCCCTAGCAAGAGGCTTTGAATTTGCGGTTCACCTAATTTGCTATCAGAGAGGCCTCTCGACTTCTTGTTATTTCGTATAGATATCGCTGCTAGCGTAACCTGGATGTTATTTTAGTTATAATGACCAAATACTAGACTGTATTTCATTTCAGTTGAACTTTCACAAGTGCTCCTGACGAAGGGTTGAATAACCCGAAACACGTGTAGAGCAATGTTGGAGTTCTGAATGTATATATGTATAAATTAATTATTATTTAACTGGGAATAAGCCACAATTAAAGATAAAAATCATTTATTGACGTTTCAATTTTCACTTCGGAAATCGTTTTCAAAATAGAAACAAATTAAACAAATTTTGTTTTTTGTTACATAGTGAAAAATTCTTCTAATAATTTAATTTTATCTGACTCATTTATATTGACAATTCAGACATACATTATGCATTTTAAAGTAGACGACTTTAAAATGATATTGCCAATATTGTTGAGTTGCGTTCCTGGGACGACTTTACTTATAAGATAGTTCATTCGATTACATGAAATCAACTTTAACTTGAGAATATCCGTCAGAAAAAAAATCATAGCATGTAATTCGTCTTTAAAAAGACCAACACATGACATGATGACAGTAAAATTCTCCTGTTAGTGATTCCATACTAAATTATGAGGGAGAAACCAGGAAAAAAACCTCATAATACTATCCCGACATGGTAAGTATTTGTTCGTGCATTTAGTTTACCTTCAATAAACACCAAAATTCTGATTTTATATGTTTTCTGATTTAAAAAATATAAATGATGTATCCTCTATATGTTACTGACTTACTAATACTGTATTTTCTTATTAATAACTTCCTCTTTCAATATTGGTAACCAGATCATACTACATTCTGCCGAGGAATTTGCGACACAATTGGCCTCATTCAGCATAATTAGAGCCGCTTCTTTGATTTTTCTTTTTTTACCATCCGTTTCTTTTAGGACTACATTTGAATTATTCAATTGAAGCCTATGTTAATTATCCCATGTGTGTTTACATATTTGAAATCTATCAAATTCTCTATTTTTAATATAAGATTGATGTTCACTTATTCTAACATTTAATGGTCTTGATGTTTCACCTAAATAAAACTGATTGTATTCACAAGGTATTTTATAAATCCAATTCTTTGTCCTTTCTTGTTCATTTTTAGGTTTGGTTTAGGACAAAATAGATCTCAAAGTGTGTGTTGTTTTGAATGTTGTTGAAATGTTGAATTTACTTCCTATTCTTTTAAGTTTTTCTGATAATCCTTTTATGTACGGTATTGTTATTTTTTTCGTATTATTCCTTGTGTATGCTGTAGGATCTTGTTCTAAGTTGTTCTGTTCTATTTGAACATATTTTCTATTCTATTTTTTCCTGGTTTTCCCTTATGATTTACTATGGAATCACTAACAGGAGAATTTTACTGTCGTCATATCATGTGTTTGTCTTTTTAAAGACGAATTACATGCTATGATTATTTCTTTTGACGGATATTCTCAAGTTAAATTTGATTTCATGTAATCGAATGAACTATCTTATAAGTAAAGTCGTCCCAGGAACGCAACTCAACAATATTGGCAATATCATTTTAAAGTCGTCTACTTTAAAATGCATAATGTATGTCTGAATTGTCAATATAAATGAGTCAGATAAAATTAAATTATTAGAAGAATTTTTCACTATGTAACAAAAAACAAAAATTGTTTAATTTACTGTTTGTATTTTGAGAACGATTTCCGAAGTGGAAATTGAAACGTCAATAAAAGTATTTTTATCGTTAATTGTGGCTTATTTCCAGTTAAATAGTAATTAATTTAAAATGCCACAAGAAAATAGCTTCAGAACAATATATATATATATATATATATATATATATATATATTTATATATATATATATATATATATATATATATAATATATATATATATATATCTATATATATATATATGTATATATATATATATATACAGATAAGTTTACATTAAGTATATAACTTAATAAATTTTACAACAATACAAATAACAATAAATCCAACAGAGTCAAAACTGTTTTTGATAAAACCGAACAATTAACAAATCTTTTAGCCAAACATAACATAACAGTAGCCCACAGAAACAACAAAATTTTAAATAAATATTTCACTAAACTAAAAACACAAACTCCAAAACTCAAAAAATCACATGCTGTTTACGAGACACCATGTATTAACTGTGAAGGTATCTATATTGGGCAAACCAGTCAACTGTTTCAATCCTGAATTCGTTCTCACAAATAATATTACAAGAATAACGTCACTGCGCTCACAAAACATAAAAATAGGAAGAAGCATAAATTTGACTTGGAAAAAATTAAAATTTTAAAAACCGAACACAACAAAAAGAAGCGGGAGATATAAGACTCAATAGAAATAAAACTAAATAACAACGTAATAAATGATAAAAAAAGATACACAAAACCTAAATAAAAAATATTTTAATCTGATTTAAATAATAAATATAACACCATAAAAAGCTCTTAAAGTCATAATATACCTCCACTTTACCTTTTTCGAAAACATTAATGATATCCTCATAAAACCAAATCCAAACATACCTGTAAGAATCGCAATTATAGGAAAATTAGCAGAGTATACTTTAAGCGATCTTTAACGCGGGAAGATGACATGAAACTGTATACTCGAGTTAAATCCAAACTCGAGATACAGTTTATTTTAGAATTATTTTGTTTTCGTTTTACTCGACGAAACAAGTAGAAAAATGATTATGATTTATATGAGGTAAATTGTTGATGCATAGTGGAATATAAATATTCCTAGCCGTGCTCTGAATGACTTGTTTAAGCTTGGGTATACAGTTTATAATTAGTAATTCTGCTGCTATTAAGGAAGGTATAACGAAAAAATTAATAGTTAGTATTAATAAGTTAAGTTTTTATTGTTTTGCATTTAGAAACTAAGAAAAGGACACATCTGGTGATACTGAGCGTTTGCTAGGTCGAGGGCCTGGTGGTCTAGGACGTCTGCTTGGTGGAGGTCCGGGTGGTCCAGGACGTTTGCTTGGTGGAGGGCCTGGTGGTCTAGGACGTCTGCTTGGTGGAGGGCCAGGTGGTCCAGGACGTTTACTTGGTGGAGGGCCTGGTGGTCTAGGGCGTCTGCTTGGTGGGGGTCCGGGTGGTCCAGGACGTCTGCTTGGTGGAGGGCCTGGTGGCCTAGGGCGTCTGCTTGGTGGAGGTCCGGGTGGTCCAGGACGTTTGCTTGTGAGGGCCTGTGGTCTAGGACGTCTGCTTGGTGGAGGCCAGGTGGTCCAGACGTTACTTGGTGGAGGGCCTGGTGGTCTAGGGCGTCTGCTTGGTGGGGGTCCGGGTGGTCCAGGACGTCTGCTTGGTGGAGGGCCTGGTGGCCTAGGGCGTCTGCTTGGTGGAGGTCCGGGTGGTCCAGGACGTTTGCTTGGTGGTGGGCCTGGTGGTCTAGGGCGTCTGCTTGGTGGAGGGCCAGGTGGTCCAGGACGTTTGCTTGGTGGAGGGCCTGGTGGTCTAGGGCGTCTGCTTGGTGGGGGCCGGGTGGTCCAGGACGTCTGCTGGGTGGAGGGCCTGGTGGCCTAGGGCGTCTGCTTGGTGGAGGTCCGGGTGGTCCAGGACGTTTGCTTGGTGGTGGGCCTGGTGGTCTAGGGCGTCTGCTTGGTGGTGGTCCGGGTGGTCCAGGACGTTTGCTTGGTGGAGGGCCTGGTGGCCTAGGGCGTCTGCTTGGTGGAGGTCCGGGTGGTCCAGGACGTTTGCTTGGTGGAGGACCTGGTGGTCTGGGCGTCTGCTTGGTGGAGGGCCTGGTGGTCTAGGTCGTCTGCTTGGTGGTGGACCTGGTGGCCTAGGACGCCTGCTTGGTGGTGGACCTGGTGGCCTAGGACGTCTGCTTGGTGGAGGTCCGGGTGGTCCAGGACGTTTGCTTGGTGGAGGGCCTGGTGGTCTAGGACGCCTGCTTGGTGGAAGGTCCGGGCGGCCAGAACGTTTGCTTGGTGGAGGGCTTGGTGGTCTAGGACGTCTGCTTGGTGGAGGTCCGGGTGGTCCAGGGCGTTTGCTACTGGTTGGTGGTGGTCTTGTTGGCCTAGAGTCTATTGAATCACCTTCTTCGGCATCATTAGACAATTTTATCTTGTTAAGATGCTCAGAAGATACTAAGGAGGGAAGCAATATTTTATCATCTTCAAAATTAGATAAAATAACGTCACTTAGATCATTGTTGACATCTGAAAAGATATTAGATTTTATGATCAATATTAAACTACCTTAATACAATAAGAAAAAAAATAAAGATTAAAATTTCATAGTGTTGTAACTTTGTATATTATGAAGTAAATAGTGTTAATTTTCTTTAAATAATATAAAATGATTTCTTACCATTTGCGCAATTGACACCAGCCCAAAGGACTAACGCCACAATTAATATTTTTAACATTGTGTTTTTAACACATACAAATTGTATAAAGGTACAGCTAGAGTGATTAGTATTTATAGGAAAATTCTTAGTTATCAGAAAAAGATAAAATGCAAATACGATTGTACTTAATTACACACTTAAAGATAGTATCTTATTGGAATTCCACAGAGTTTTGAGAAGAAAATATTCGGTGTGAAAAACATATTACAATTACAATTTGTTTTGTCCTAAAAATTTATCCCTATTCCTAAATGTATCCATAATTTTTCCATATATCAGTTTTTGGATTGTATAGTGATTTATTTCTGCATTTTTTATTATTTTTTTTAATTGTCTTCTTTTTTCTTTTACGACAAGTTTACAAGGTATATATGATAAGTAGTAATAGTAATACAATGACTTATTATGTCACACAATATGAATTTTGCACAGGAACAAAGTACCTTTGTTGGCAATACCTAAAGTAGTTACAAAATGTTGATCATAACGAAATACTTTATATAAAAAATATATTTTTTCTTTCGGAATGTATCTTTACAATATCCTTTCTTATTTGGGTAGAAATGTTTGTTTTAATTCATATACTTCCAAAATACATGCTTTTGATTTTTTTAAGCTACAACAGTGTGATTATATATGTATAGAGCATCTTCGTTCAGTTTCGTATGTTTTTAAAGGAGGAATGTTATTTTCTTTCCGGAAGTCTTCTACAATCAATATTTCCCGTTTGTATAAGTTTTAATAAAAATTACCTTGATCCACGCAAGATGTGTTCCAAACAAGAAACCTTGCATTGTTTTATCATACTCAATAGTTATCGGCCTACTTCGGCCCGTCGCAACAGTTGGTAACTCAACTTAAATATTTAAAGTAGTCTTCTTAAAATTCACATTTTGCATGCTTTAATATTATTCATTGATTTTAGTTTAATTGCTATGTCTTTGCACCATACAATTATAAATTCCACAAATAAACCTTTACCACACACAGTATAAGTTTTAAAGGCATCTCTTACCGAATGAGGTATTTCTTGAATTTAACAGATACAGTCTTAGGCATACTCACCCTTATTTAAATGTGCTCATCACAATCCCACTTGCATGATAGAGTGACTAAATACTTAGATTTCTCAACTTTTTCAATTGTTCGCGTATAAGAAGGTGTACTTGCTTGTGTTGCTGCCTTCTGTGAACATAAATTTAGTATTTATGATGTCAATCTTCAAGTTGTATTCCTTTCCTGTATGATTAATAATGTAAACAGCGATTGCAGATCTTCTATTTCATCTGCTAGATGAATAGTTAGATAGAATCCTCGTAAATATTGTAAATTATAACCACATTTACTTTAATTTTATGATCTATGTTTTGTAGAGTAATTTCAAATATTTGTACAACGTATATGTTATGCGATAATAAACAGCGCTGTCTAAATCAAAGTTAAAGTATAAGTATAAAGTTCCGTGGATAATGATTTATTGATTTTAAGTTGGGCGAGGCTAGTATAAAGGGATTTAAAATTCGAATGTCTTATTGGTCGACACTTGTACCACGTAGAATGGGTCTAAAAAGACAATAACGTACAGTATCGAAAGCTTTTTGGTAGTCTATAAAAGAAATTAATAAATCTTTTCCAGGATCGTAGCCAGTTTGCGCCCGGAGTTGGCAGTTCTCCATTAACCTCTTCTTATCTTTTATATATTTACGACTGGATCCTTTTAAGACATGGTTCAAGAACAAGGCTTATAAAACAAAAAAGTTTATCCTCTTCTCAAATCTTAGAATTTGTTTTAGAACTACCAACAAATGTTGAATTAAGCCAATACCGAGGATGTTTCCACTGTCATCAATTTTCTTTAAAAGTTCACATACGATTTTCCTATTCATCAACTTCAAGACTCACATTCCACTTCTGATTAAGGCATGAGTGGAAAATTTTAGAATAGTTGATTAAGAAGAATAAAAATAAGTCTAAACACAAAAGGACTGTGTATTTTCACAGGGATACTAACAGACAGAAAACTTACCTAAAACCGAAAACCTAAAACCTAAAACCTAAAAGATGCAGCAGTAAGATGCTCTATACATATCAAATCAAATAGCTGTACCTTAAAGAAATCTAAAGCATGTTATCTGAAGCATATGAAATAGAAAAAGAGTATCTTCCCAAATAAGGTAGGAGATACGTATCGAAAGAAAAAACTTTTTTCATATAAAGGATTTAGTAAAGATAAACTTTTTTATAACTACATTCGATATTGCCAAAAATAAAACTAGTTTGTTCCTGTGCAACATTCATATTGTGTGACAAAATAAGTCATAAGTCAATAGACCACCACTCCCTCCACCAAGCAAACGTCCAAGGCCACCAGGTCCTCCACCTAGCAAACGCCCCGGACCACCTGGACCTAAACCAAGCGGACGCCCTTGACCATCAGGCCTTCCACCTAGCCGACGCCCAAGATCACCAGAGGAGTCTAGTTCTTAGTTTCTAAATTAAAAACAATAAAAACTTAACTTATTAATACTAACTTGAATGTTTTTAAGTTTTATCTAACTATATATATATATATATATATATATATATATATATATATATATATATATATAGCAATGAAAGAACGTGTCAAAAGGTTATCACATCCAGATTATCTCCAACATGATCTTAACCTCTTACGAAATATTTTTGTTGAAAATTCATATCCTCTAAGACTAATTAATAAATTAATTTTTAATGTTGCATTTGTTAATAGAAATAACATTCTCACTAATTCACAATCAGTGTCCACAGCACAAAATAATTCTGCTCAAACAAGTGTGTATTTTTATGCCCTTCCGTATATTCCAAAACTTACCGTAGAACTCTCTAAAATTTTCAAAGAATTTAAGAACATCAAAATAGCTAACAAGAACATCAAAACCATACGTCAGCTGTATAGCAAAATAAAACAACCCCTAACTACTTTAGAGTCAAGAGATGTTGTTTATTGCATTCAATGTACTGAATGTCCATCCACGTACATTGGTGAAACTGGAAGAAATCTGTCTAGTCGTATCATTTCTCATAAGAGTGACTGTAGACTAAATAAACCCACTTGTGCTTTGGCAGAACATACTATCGATCTAGACCATAAGATAGATTTCAACAATGTAAAAATATTAGCCAGAGAGAAAAATAAATTTAGGAGAACATTCCTAGAAATGGTACATATCAGCAAGAGTGATAACAACACTCTGAATAAAAGATCTGAGATCCAGAATCTTAGCAAAATTTACAATTTTATTTTGACTTTTGACTGAGCTTTTCTTTATCTCAGAGTGTTCTTGTTTTTTTTCTTAAATTCACTTATTAATTGCTATAATTATCATGATTAACTTCAGTTATTATTCAGATAGTTCATTTTGTTTTTGGTTGTTTGTTTTTTCTAAACCTACGTACTAAATACTATTTTATTGTTTGATATAATGAACTTTTTTAAATTTCCCTCTCAATTTAAAGTTGGTAATATAGTTGGTAGTACTTAAAATCACAAATGGTATTTTGTTAGACATCAGTTTGAAAGTTTGTTTTTTGTAGTTACATCGAACTATTTAAACAACAATAGTTCCTCCTACTGCCTCTTTCTGTTCGTGAGATGTGACTGAATTCAAACCTGCAAAGACGACTGTTTTTTTGTCAAACATGTCGTTTTACTTTTTGCATTTTAAACTTTGTAACGTATTCATTAACTTTTAAGTTATTTTTAAATTTTAACAGTTTTAATGCCTTCAGCAATTCATGTCATATTATGTTATTTAACGTTGTGTTTATATGCTACGAATCTTACTTTCTGGTAAGTTTTTATAACTTTTATATTGCATCAGTCAAAGTTTATAACACAGTAATTTTCATTGTAGACCTTGATAAAGGTGGCAAACAACCACCGAAAGCTCGGATTCAGAATAAATAGTATGCCTTAGCAAAGCTCTATTTTTTATTCATATATTGTTTCCAAACTAGTCACTAAAAAATGTTGGACTACTATATATATATATATATATATATATATATATATATATATATATATATAATATATATATATATATATATATATATATATATATATATATATAATATAATAAACTGTAAGACTCTTTGAGTATAAACATCTGAAAGGATAGGCTAAGTGTACTCTTTAGTCCCTTCTTAATCCAATATTTCCTCGATAGTCATCGACATCGAAAATTTGACAATCTATTTTAACTAAGGTGATGTTACTTACGATTTGTGATTATCGCCGTAAAGAAAGCTGGTCAAAGTTATAAAAATTTTGTAAAAAATTGTATTTGTAAATTGTAATTGCAATTGTAAATTGTAAAGTTTTTTTTTAAAACACATGTATTGTAAATTTTTAAAGACTGGTACAAAGACAATGCACAATTTTAACTTTTATGTATTGAACGGAAAGTCCTCTCTGGAGAGTTTTACATATTTTTATTTAATTCTTAACCTGAACTACATGTCATGTAACGTGGACAACATGGTTAATTTGCAGGTTTGAAAACACTAACCTGTACAATCTTCTCTTCTCGTTGATAGTCAAAGTAAAAGGGAGATTTTAGTGACTCTTGCCTTCATTGGGTGTCTGTACCTGTATTTGATTGGAATCTCAAGTAGGAGATATTCAAAAAAATTGAAATTGTTAAAGTGCTTAAAGATCACTGTAACAAGAGTTTGATAATTAGATCTTGGTTAATTCCAAGACCTAGTTATTATGTAAAGGTTGAAGATTAATATAGTGATGTCGTATTTAAAAATTTTTTTAGACTAGAAATGTTGATTATTATAATTGAATTGTGCTTTACGATTATTACTTTAAGAGTCTATTGTTAAACTATGTAATAATATGGTATTATACAATATAGTTTAAAAATAATAATTAACAATAGATTCATAAAGTAAAAATCTTACAGCACATTTTTAATTATAATAAACATTTCTTATCAAAAAAAAATACGACATCACTATATTACTCTTCAACCTTTACATAATAACTAGGTCTTGGAATTAACCAAGATCTAATTATCAAACTCTTGTTACAGTGACCATCAATCACTTTAACAATTTCAATTTTTTAAAATATCTCCTACTTGACATTCTAATCAAATACAGGTAGAGACACCCAATGAAGGAAAGGGCTTTTAAAACTCCCTTCTACTTTGACCATCAAAGAGAGAAGAAACAATTTAAAAAAAAATTTATAACTTTGACCAGCTTTTTTTACGGCTATCATCTCAAATCGTAAGTAACATCAACTTAGTTTACTAGATTGTCAAATTTTTATGTGAAACTATTTGTAGCTTATCTCTGATGATGTTGATGACTATCGACGAAATATTGGATTAATAAAGGACTAAAGAGTACACTTAGCCTATCCTTTCAGCTGTTTTCACCCAAAGAGTCTTAAAGTTTATTTTTTAACTTAATCAGCTGTAATTAACACTATATATATATATTATATATATATATATATATATATATATATATATATATCTATATATATATATATATATATATATATATATATATATATATATATACATTTATATAAGTTCACTTTTTGAAATTATCGCCTTTTTAGTAAAACTTAATGTTAGTCTTGATCGTGTAAATGGGATAAATAGCTACACATTTATTGCAAGACCATTGCACTGTCTTGCAGTCTACCTGTTGGTAGACCATTCAAGATTTTGCTTTCTATAATTTGAAACAAAGAGGCTAAATAATGCTCCCTACAGTTACAGAATACAAAACTTATCGAATATTAAATCACACGATCAGTCTTTTTGGGATTCTTTTGACCTTCATCATGTTTACAGTTTTCTGAAAACCTTCCTCTATCGCTTCTATACTAGCGCTATATTACTTCTTCTGTAAAATTCTGCGCGAGCGTCACGGAAGAAGCACCACGAGATGCCGTCATTAGTAGAGTCACGAAATATCGGTCTTCACATCGATTTTTCTACTCTCCATTAATTTGTTTCTAGTAATCTAGTAATAGATTTTGGTGTATGGGACGAAATGAAACAAAGTGTATAAAAGAATCCCATATATATTCGCCACTAACTTTCTCATTCTAATTCATTTCTAATCTCATTTGCGACCTTCCTCTTTTTCGTTTGCAACTATATGGTCTCCACTGTATAATCATCTTATTCCATCTGTCGTCTTTCTATCTTATGAAATGTCCAGCGAACTTCCACTTAAGTTTTGCTATCTGCGTTGATACATCGGTCACTTTTGTTTTGTTGCGGATTCAAGTATATATATGTATATATATATATATATATATATATATATATATATAGATATATATATATATATATATATATATATATATATATATATATATATATATATATTTAACTATAAACTACTTCCGATATTATTAGAAAATTTGTCAACTAATAATAAAACTGAAACCTGAAAAAAAACCTATAAGAACTAACCTCATATAGGCTTATGAGTCTATTGCCAATTATATCAAAACGACTAGAGAAAGTTATAATTAAGCAATTAATAAAGAAAATTAATAAACGAAAATCAATTTGTTTCGGAAACAAACATATACCTAAAGTTTCAACAGCAGGTTTAAAGTTTCCTCTATAGGCTTACAAATCGATCTGGATAAAATGCAAAACTGGTTACACATTTGGTATATGAAAGCAAATGTCAGTAAATCTGTTTATTTTACGTTTGTCATAAAACGAAATAACTGTCCACCATTCACACTTAATGGATATCAGCTTTAATTTTTCGATCTTACTAAATACCTAGGAATGTAACTGAACTGCAGATCAGAAGTTACATGTCAGAAGCACATATTCAAAAACAACCACCTCCTATACAAAACTATCATAAAACCGATTTGGACTTATGTATATAACCATGGAGCACCGCCAGCAACTCCAACCTAGACATGATCCAAAGTACCAAAACAAACATCGACGCATAATAGTGATCGCTATGGTATGTAACCAACGGCATAATTCATAGGGATTTTAATGTTCCGAGTAATAAAGAAGTTATAAAAAAAGTGGTAGTCATACAGGAACAAGTGGCATCACATCCAAACAAACTAACAAGTGATCTGATAAACTTACTAGAAGAAAGCATAAGATTTAAGAGGTTTAAACCATCTGACTTATATACTAAATTTTAGTTTTAATTTGGCTATTAGAATCCTCCCTACAAGTCATATTAAAAAGTTTTCAGAAGTCAAAATCAAAACGTCAAATAAACTTAATTTGAAATTAATATCTTATTTATGTTTGTATTTTTTCTGGTGCTTTGACATGAATTGTAAAAATGTGCATCGCCAGCTATCGCCGTCAGTTTACTACCGCTCTGCACATACGCACTCCCACTACCTACCACCACCATCGATGAACACTAGAGATGGAAGACTGGTAACGGTAAAAAAACAGTCAAGTTCCTCTAGAGTACTGATCTGGTGGGAACTCCATCGGGTTTTTGAGTGTTATCTAAAGGCCAATTGAGACCGAACTTGTACCGTGACTAAGTGTTGACTAGTAACTTTCCGCTCTTTCCCGGATCGAATGTTCATCGATCCGTTACCTTTAACCCAGATAATTCCTTTTCCTGAATGTGTGTGTTTGTGTTTGTATACTAACGCATACTATTTTTATTATATATTCTAAAATTAGTTGTATTTATTTTTCGCAGGTATTAAAAGGGGATCGTAGCGATGTCAAAACTTCAACAGAATACATAAAACCGTCAAAGAACATTCAAAAGAACCGTCAAATAACAAAGATTAACACTACGACAGTTTTTAAAGATCGCGGAGATCTAACAAAAACCGAATAAGACTCAAATAGGAAACAAATCCGAAGAAGAACCGAAAAAAACCTAACCCGAATATAAACTGAATTATAATAAAATAGAAATCAAACCCAACAGGAACGACATAGCAACAGGCCAGTTAAGAATTACGACAACCGTTTGCAGAATGTGCAAAATATTGGTCTAGCTATGTTCAACTAGTACACTATACAAAAACTATAGAAAAATACTTTCAGTGTAATCCATCGCAGATGCAGCCAGCTGGAAAATAAGACAATCCATTGTAGAAAAGCTTGGTACACTGTATCAATTGATCTGTTTGTGTGTGAGTGACAGTCATCTAAGACCACTTTACGAAGTGGGCTATCGCTTAACCGACAGAGACCACACCGCTGATGAGATCACGCCATTGTAGGCTCCACGCCACAAAAAAAAATTCCAAAGAAAAGTGGTAAAATGATGTGCAACGCCAACTATCGCCGTCAGCTTACTTCCGCTCAGTAACACACACTACCCCTACTTTTTACCACCATCGATGAGTACTGGAGAAAGCAAACCAGCAATGGTATAAAACAGCGTACGCCGCAAGAAAGAAACATTCTTTTAGAACTCGATTAAAATTGCTCCTATTTTACATGCAATCGATACTTGCAATACCAAAAAATTACACAGTTTAGTAACAAATACTAAAACTGTAAGAGAAAGAAAAGAAACAGAAATGACTTAAAACAAAACATTTACAAAACAATAACATTCTCGCTTAAAAACTAACGTGATTGGCAATTTTTTAAGATAAACAAAATTAGATTTACGATATATTTTTCACATAAATATTTCTTAAATATTTAAGGAATTCGTATCAGATATTATCTTTAAGTGTTTAATTGATTACAATTATTGCATTCACGTTTGATCTTGTATAGATTACTAATACATTCAATTCTTAATACAGGTTATGGTTGCTCCAATTACAATGTTGCAAATATTAATTATTGGGATAGTTTTTGGATAAATGTAGGCTGCATAAACGATAACAAAACGCTAATACACATATTACGTATTATTTAAATAAATCTAAAACATTTTACTGAAGATGCAACCGAGAGAGAAAATTAAATCAGCGTTAAAATGTTTGAAGAACAACAAAACATGTGAGCATGCAACAAAGATAGCATTGTAATAAAATAATTCTATATAATACTATATAATATACTAATAGATAAAACTATAAGTTAAATGCGTGACAAAAGCTTTAAAAAAACTTTTTATAATACCTGCCTTTTTAAAGAAATTACACCAGAAAAATGCAATAGTGGGATTATGATAATATTGCATATAAAAGGAGATGTAACAGAAGTTATAAACTACAGACCTATCACCTTGTTATCTCATTTATATAAGCTCTTTAAAAGAATAATTACAGACTGGGACCCAAGGTAGATTTTCACCGATCACAAGAGCAAGCCAGATTTAGGAATGGCTTTGGAACGAATGACCACCTACAAGTAATACAATTCTTCATAGGGGAAGTTAAAGAATGCAGCAAGCCATTGATATTAATATTTTTGTAGACATTAAAAGAAAATATTTGACTCAATCCAGCATAGCTCTATCTTATGAGATCTTACAGAGTGCTTATATTTAAAAGAAGGATCCTGAGAAGAATATTTGATGGCATCTGTGAAAATGGTGTTGGAGTAGGAGGTACAAGCAGGTACAGCAGGTATATTTGGTGGTAAAGACGTAGTATCTCTTATAAAAATAGGAAGACTAAGATGGGCAGAACATCTTGCAAGATCACAGCAGAACAACCTTCCTTGAAGAATCCTTATGTCACAACCTGTAGGAAGTAGAAGTAGGGGTAGGCCAAAACTCAGATGGAGAAATGGTGTAGATGAGGAGGGTAGAATAGGCAACAAACTGGCAACAGTTGGCAATGGATAAAACTGATTGGCGTTATAGACTTGGGAAGGTCAAGAGTCTTTTATAGGGCTAGGATATGGCTCTATATGGATAAGGGTATTAGGCTAGGAGACACCATCTCTTAAACTATTCACCACTTTATTACAGAGTGCCGTGAGAAACACTAATTGGGTGAATATTGTAGTCAATATAAATGGAAAATTTTTAAATAACTGGTTTGCAGACGACATAGTCCTTACTGCAGACTTTATAGACCATGCTTGTCAACTTCTTTAACACCTTCAGAGCTCATGTACATGAGTTGGCAAGTTTTCCACAACACTATACATGAAGAACCTTGTACTGGACAAAAAGATTTCAACTAATGGCGCGCAAATTACCCAAGTTTATACCAATAAGTATCTGTGCAACAAGATTAAAATGGTAAAGGTAATGGTAAAATCAAACACCAGAGTTAAACAGAATAGCATTAGCATGAGCAGCCTACGGCAAACTGAGGAAAGTATTTAGATCATATATTCCCATCGGCTTTAAAATACAGGTCTTTACGGCATACCTATATTCAGCAGTGTATAAATACCCCAGGGAAGACAAAAAAAGAATAGAACGAGGTTCAGCTGTAGATCGGCTTCTTTCCAGATATGGCAAACTCAAATTTTGGCGGATGTAAAGTGAAGTGGCGAAGGCGACATGAAATATTGAAGAAGACGTAATACAAAAAATATAAAAAAACTTACAACCAAAAACTTACAGTAAAATCTTCTGATGTACAATGTTATATATTTATTATAATATATTATAATATAATATAATATAATATAATATAATATATAATATAATATAATATAATATAATATAATATAATATAATATAATATAATATAATATAATATAATATAATATAATATAATATAATATAATATAATATAATATAATATAATTATATAATATAATATAATATAATATAATATAATATAATATAATATAATATAATATAATATAATATAATATAATATAATATAATATAATATAATATAATATAATATAATATAATATAATATAATATAATATAATATAATATAATCTAATCTATCTAATATAATATAATCTAATATAATATAATATAATATAATATAATATAATATAATATAATATAATATAATATAATATAATATAATATAATATAATATAATATAATATAATATAATATAATATAATATAATATAATATATTATAATATAATATATTATAATATAATATAATATAATATAACATAATATAATATAATATAATATAATATAATATAATATAATATAATATAATATAATATAATATAATATAATATAATATAATATAATATAATATAATATAATATAATATAATATAATATAATATAATATAATATAATATAATATAATATAATATAATATAATATAATATAATATAATATAATATAATATAATATAATATAATATAATATAATATAATATAATATAATATAATATAATATAATATAATATAATATAATATAATATAATATAATATAATATAATATAATATAATATAATATAATATAATATAATATAATATAAATATAATATAATACAATATAATATAATATAATATAATATAATATAATATAATATAAATATAATATAATACAATATAATATATTATATTACAGAGATGTCACAGTTACGACTTTTGCTGATGATACAGCCATTTTAGCTTTAAAAAAAGACTTAAACATAGCATCTGAAAAGCTACAAAATGACTTTTATACATAAGAGAATTGGTTGACAAAATGGAAAATTTTCCACAAGTTAGTCTTAACAATGCCCCATTCCTGCTAGAGCAGTTCTGAAATATCTTTGGTTACATTTAGACCAAAAGCTCAGCTGGAAGCAACATATTAACGATAGAAACTCAGCTCAATATAAAATTAAAACAAATGAATTGTTTACATGGCAGAAAGTCACAACTGACATTGGAGAACAAAATACTGTTTTACAAAGTCATACTAAAACCAAAATGAACATAGGGAGTAGAAATCTGGAGCTGTAACAAGACTTCGAACATAAAAATTTTGCTGACCTTCCAATCAAAAACACTGCGTTTTCGTTGTGAGCAGTGCAACCATCTACAATGACCTAGGAGCACCAAACGTAAAAGATATTATCAATTCACCCCAACAAGGCTAAAATTGGAAGAAGACTTGGCCAGAAGACCAGGTCACATAGGTGAAAATGGAAAACTGTCGCTGGACGGTACCCAAATCTTATGAGTAGATTGTAAATAGGCATTTAAAAAATAAAAAAAATAATATTCACAAAATTTGATCTCGCCTTCACCAAATGCGACCAGCGCATTCACCAAATCTGAGAAAAGCTGATTTAAGCTCCCTTCATTTACATATAAATTTTTCCAGACTGCTAGAAAGCGTGTTACCTATCTACTAACGTGAACACAAGTTATCCTTTAACCTCGAGGTGCTTCCTAGTGTTTGATATGTGTAATATGTATCACAGTCTCGAAAAATTTAATTGTGAGCTCCATTCCAAGCAAGTTCATAGTAACTTCAGCCACAATTATCCTATTACGCGTACAAACTTATTCATCGCCAAAAAAACACTTTGGCTGGACAACAATCTTTGTAATAAAAAGCGATGAAATAAAAACCATCGTAAAATTTCAGAACAAAATGAAGAAAATGCCATAATCCGACTGACATAAAAGTTTAACAATATTCGCTTAAAATTACAGTGATTCGAACATAAAACATATGGTGGACCAAATCGCTTTATGCGGAAAGTTCGTCATGCACCCTACTGATGATTTGATCCAGTATATTAATATACAAATATTGTCCGTGCTACGAGACTGCAAATACCTGGCCTTGGATAAACTGGAGAATGGCCTTGGATAAAAGCTGTCACCACAGATAATGCGCAGTGAAGTATATTTGTATACCTACTATTATATTTATTATATTATATTATATTATATTTATATTATATTATAATATTTTATATTATATTATATTATAGTATATTATATTATATAATATTATATTATATTATAATATATTATATTATATTATATTATATTATATTATATTATATTATATTATATTATATTATATTATATTATATTATAGTATATTATATTATATAATATTATATTATATTATATTATATTATATTATATTATATTATATTATATTATATTATATTATATTATATTATATTATATTATATTATATTATATTATTATATTATATTATATTATATTATATTATATTATATTATATTATATTATATTATATTATATTATATTATATTATATTATATTATATTATATTATATATTATATTATATTATATTATATTATATTATATTATATTATATTATATTATATTATATTATATTATATTATATTATATTATATTATAATATATTATATTATATTATATTATATTATATTATATTATATTATATTATATTATAATCTATTATATATTATATTATAATATATTATATTATATTATATTATATTATATTATATTATAATTATATTATATTATATTCTATTATATTATATTATAATATATTATATTATATTATAATATATTATAATATATTATATTATATTATATTATATTATATTATATTATATTATATTATATTATATTATATTATATTATATTATATTATATTATATTATATTATAATATATTATATATTATAATATATTATATATTATAATATATTATATTATAATAAAATATATTATATTATATTATATAATAAAGTCTAAATATATTAAATATCAATAAATTATATACCATTACACATCGGAAGTTTTACTTTAGTAGTAAATTTTTTTACACTATAGTATACAGCCAATTACTAGGATTTTCCTGTTTAATTTTTGAAGCACGGGTTTTTTAAATGGAGCGCCATAGCAGTTTAACTTATAGAGATGTATAATAAGTGATTAAAAAGGTGGAAAGCCAAAGAGTCTAACATGTCGATACATGATAATACATTTTTGTGATACATGGTATACAGCCAACTATAGGAATTTAGTTTCCTTCAGTGATCACAGTTTAGTTACAGTGCCTAAATGACTGAAAGTACCGGAACATGCGAAGTGTCATGTCATAGCTTTCAGCGAATAGAATACGATTGGATAAAGAAATCATTGATGGCGTTATGCTAGAACTGAAACATGTTTATAAAATTGTTTTTGCTTATTCTTTTAGAAAACGTTCTCCAAACTTATAGTATAAGATGAGGATATTAACTGTTAAATCTATGGGTTTATTACCTTAAATCAATATTATTATAGGTTTTATTGGCCTTATTTGACTTTTATTCTTGAAAGAAAAAAAAATGTTTGTAAAAACAATAGAAATAAAACAAAAAAAGTTATTCACTTGTTAAATTATCTTCTTAAAGTTCACGTTTGATTAGAGATTTGTTTATCAATAATATACTTGCAACTTATCTCATAATAATTAATTTATATCAAATTATTCTCATTAATTGCCATCTATTCGCAATTTATCGAAGCAGATCGATGATGACAAAGGTTTTCTACTAAATTAATTAGGTAAAAAACTCAACTTTTGAGCGACGTCTGTCTGTTTTCTACTAGGTGGCGCTTAAAATAAAAGTAAAAATTTTAACCCAGGTATAAAAAAGGATATAATGGAAGAATTTAAAAGACTACATAAAAAGAAAAATAGAGAATTACATGAAACTGAATTTGCCTTGTGATGAAGTTAATTTAATCAATAAATCACAAATATTTGGGTAGTTTCAGTTGCATTCTATCTTTTACATATTTTTTTCTCTTATTCTTATTACAAGCTATCTCATTATTCTTTACAACAGTAAACGGAACTTGAGTTTGTAAAGATATGAATATGATAACATTAGAAAGGAAAATTCAAATAATGTTAAAAGAAAAGAGATGAAGAGAAACAAAAATGTAATTAAGTAAAACTTTTTAGTACATAAGGATAATTAGTACAACAGGTATCATGTATGTCTCTTATAAGAAAAACCCGTTTTACTGGTACTCTACGACGTAATCATACAGTTAATCTAACTTCCATCAAAAAAACCTAAAAAAAAACGAAATAATATCTAAACGAAGCGCGGATATGTGAAAATATCTGTGAAAAGATGGACGAAACATCTAATTTATTACTAAGCACAGATACTAATACTATGCAAGTATTATCCACAAATCTATCATCCTAAAAGTTTTAAAAAAATATCGCCCAGAAAAAGATAAATCCAAAGAAATTGCTCAATTATTTTTTTCCAAGGCAAAGTGGTAAAAGAAAGTGTTCTTTCACTTATTAGACATAGTCATGTAAAACGTCAAGTATATTTCTAAGCAAGTTGAAATAAAAAACTTTATTTTAAATCCATAAGGTATTAATTAAAACATATCTTGGTGTACCTATACCAGTAAAATATGCTAGACATATAAAAACGTCCGATACAAGCAGGAAAATGCAATGCATAAATCAAGTACCTAAAGAATATACCATCAGATTTTTTTGGCACAATTTCAAATAAAAATGATCCGAAAAAAAAGTCAGCATATAAGGGAAGTTGAAAAAAAAACATGTTGATGAGCAAAACCAATTAAGAAACATCAAAGTGCCTTGCATATTTAGACATCCTTAAAAGAATTTTATGTTCTTCTTCTTTCTGTACTATGTTCATTATTGAACGTTGGTTATCATCATTTTATTTACCGTCGCTCTTAGTTTCAAAGCCATGATGTTTTTCTTGACCGGAACCCATCTTTTCATATATTTTACCAATTAAGATGTTGGACTTCATATGCGTACTAATTATAATTCAAATTTATTAATGGGTTACACTGTACATAATAAAAAATAATTAAAAGTATAATATTATGTCTAATTTTTTTTGTGTTTTTTATCGAGCTTTCTTAGAATAATAATTTTTCCTATAATCTAGAACAAAGAGGTTTTTGTTGCTTATATCTTTTTTTTTATTACAAATCGGTTTTGATATAAAAAAACATACGAAATTATTGTTTTATTCGTACTTAATATATTTTTCATTGAAAAATATGTATTTTTAAAAGTCAATATTTGAGGGTCATTAACAAAACTGATTGTAAATACACGATTGTAATTTACAATCGATTTAAGTAAAATTATTGCTAAATTAAAATGTTTTAATAGTTAAGTTTTAAAAGTTCGCTGTTTCAAAACATCGAGAAATTCGAATGTGAGTAAAATTTTTGATATTAACTGCATTTAAAAGATCTTAATTCGAATCTGACGTTATAAATCAAATCAACTTAGTTTAATATTAACCACCTATCCCAAAAAAACTTGTTCGGTGATTAGCGCACCCCAACAAAAAGGCAGAGTCGGCCTCATTAAATATGCTTTAAAAAGTAATTATATTGATCAAAATAACTTAAAAATTTTTCTATTGCAAATAACATGTCACAACCAAGGTCTTAACACCAATATCCTTCCACCAACATTCACCTAGATCTAGAATATACTGATAACTTAAATTTAAATAATACAAGTACCTACGTGCAAAGCATCTTATGCAAGTGCTTTCTCCCAAAATGTCTACAAATATCAAAATAAAGATTAAACAATTATCTTCAGCTCCATTCAGGGTGCAAGACTTTAGGATTATCTACTCCAATTGGGACTTCTGGTTAGACCAAAAAATATTATTTTCCGTAAGAGAATTTTACACAAAAGAATATGTATTTATCTAACTAAATTAATCACTAGTTAACTAATTTCTAACTAAATATGGTCAAATTATTGTACCTTACTAGAAAATATTGGATTAAAATTACTCTTTTTCTGACTTTTTTAGAATATGTGCATCAAATCCAGAATACCAACACACACTTAGGTTCATAAGGTAGGTTTATATCGCTCCTTCCCCAAATATTATCATATCCAAATCATTGGAAATAACGTATCAGAATCTATAATTTCAAGAATTTTTTAGCCGTAGACAGTCAATGTTCTTTCACATGCAAAATGCTTGGATATATTGCATCCTAATTCCCTTCCGATAACATTAATCCAAATATTTAATACTTACAACAACCCACACAAAATACTCAAATCTCGCCAATATCTCATCCTACTGGAACATTTTCTAATATTCTCTCATTAGTAACCAATGTCCAAAAAACGCTTATATTGCTTTAGACATACCTAGTCTGGTATTACGTCCAGATTGAACTTTCCAATTTTCAAATATCTCAAACACAGAGAAAACTTCTAATTTAACATCCTTCTCCTAAACAATACGAATAGCTGAAAATATGTCTCTAGTCACTTCAGAAGAAAAAACCGTCATTAAATACATCTCTAAAAACCTCTCTCGTTTAAAAAAAATTCCATCAAAAAAACAAAAAACCTAAAAATAATACTTCGTACCAAGAGATAGAACTCTCTGAACGCATTAGAAGCTATATCGACTTCCGCTCTCCTCCCTTTGTAATCAACAATTTGCAGTTCAAATAGCTCCTATTAGTAAGGGCCTAAAGCAAGGCTGCTGCATAGCACCTACACTCTTCAAAATATATCTAAATGAGGCACTCTCACTGTGGAGAAGAAAGTGCTGCAATATGGGCATCCTAATCGGAGATGATAGATTGTACACGATACATTTCGCTGACAACCAAGCCATTCTAGCTGAAGACGAGAGTGATATAAGCTACATGCTTAGAAAACTGGAAGATCAGTACACCAAATGGGGCCTCACAATTAATACAAAATATACCTATACAAAAAACTGAGTACTTAGTTGTAGGTGAAAAAACCAGAAAGCCTACAAATCACAATGGGAACTATAAAACCAACAGACAATTTTAAGTACTTAGGAGTCCAAATAACATCAAAAGCAGGAAGTAGCGAAGAAATACATTTCAGAATTGGCCAAGCAAGATCAGCCACCAGACAGCTACACGGACTATTATGGAATAAAAAAATAACAAAAGAAAATAAAAGAAGAATTTATAAAACAATAATAGAAAGTATTGGACTGTACAGCGCCGAACTCTGGGAAATAAACCAAAGAAACAAATAAAAAATTAAGGCCATGGAAATGAGATACTGGAGACGATGTTGCCAGCTCACTAGACTTGATAGGGTGAGAAACGAAGATATTGGGAGAGAAATGGAAATCGATCTAGATATAATAGACACAATCGAAGCCAAAAGACTTAACTGGTATGGACACCTTCAGAGAATGCCGGAAAATAGATGACCAAAAAAAAATAGAAGAATGGACTCCGCCAGCTAGAAGAAAACGAGGTAGACCAAGACGATCCTGGAGAGACGATGTCGACGATGCAATGACCGCCAGAGATCTAAAAACTGAAGATTGCTTCGATAGGAAAAACGTTGGAAATTAGGATGCGAGAAGCGGCGTCAGCTGTAAAAGACTCGCTTGTTATATATATATATATATATATATATATATATATAATATATATATATATATATATATATATATATTGTTATGATTGTTTATTTTGAGTTCAAACTTAGTTTATTGAGCCAATAAAAAAGAATTATAACTTATTTGTTATCAAAAGTAAAATAATCCTTATATTACCTGTGTTCGATGGATTCAAAAGAGTTTCTAGTTGTCTTTTATCGGAATAGAGAAGAAAAGGATAAGAATACAAATATATTATATTACAAAGATTTACGTTTCTTTATTTTATATGAACGAATAAAACATTTATTAAATTCTGTCATTATCTTATCAATCAGCATACAAGAAAATAAATCAAATTATTATGATAATAAGATTATAAAGCTACATACATTTATATTACGTGAAAAGCAATTTTACTTAAAATTTTCTTTACTTGGAAAAAGAAACCACAAAAACTTTAAACTTTTGATTATCCAAACACTTACAGTTTATTTTCTTCTTGAGTTGTATGTTGGAAACATACCCAGAAAAAGTCCAGTCTCCTCAAATATGTGATCTCCCCTCTTTGGCACCTCGGCTCCTTCTTTACGTCTCTGCAAACCTCCTCAGACTACACAAAAAAACACCTGATTCACTTCTCCAAACTCCGCTACTTATTTATGACACCAGGACCTCCTTTTGTCAACTTGCTGCCGTAAGAATATTTTCACATATACTTTATAAAATGCCCACGGTAGATACAAGGACTCTTTTAATCCACTTGTTATCTCCTTCTTTAAACTATTCACTTCTTTTCGTTACGCCGGTATCCAAACTCACGAACCACACCCTATCTTGAGACAAACGACTGTTTCCTTTCGATGACCAAATATGACTAACTTCTCCTCTCTCATGATCGACTCACCAAATTCCCATTTAAAAACGACCGTCCAATCAAAAAGCTTAAATTGTGTTTACCATGATTTTGGAAAAGCTAATTTCGGTTTCAGAGAAAACTAAATATCATCATCATTGGCTTTTACAACTCTTCGTGAGTTTTTGCCGCGTTTACTATTGCCTTCCATTGATTCCGATCCTGTGCTATTATTTCCCATGGCCTTACTTCCATCTTCTCCAGGTCTTCCTGACAGCGTTATTCCACCTTTTTCTAGCCTTCCTGTCGATCTTTTACCATCTGGTCTTTCTCAAAATACATTGCTAATCAGTCTGTCGTCATCACTCCGTACCACGTGGCCTGCCCATCTTAATCTATTGGCTTTTATGTATCTTGAGAAAACTAAATAGCTTACTTTAAAATTGGTTTGTTTTTCAATACATATTTATACATATTTCAAAAGATTAAAATATGGTCATTTAATACTCGACTATACAAACAATGAAAAGATTAACTTACAGGTAAAATGTCTTCTAATTCTAAACAAAGGTTTTTTGATAATTTTGTTTGAAACGGAAAAAGGTCCTTTGCCAAACAAATTTCTATTCTTATCTACACTAAATCTTATCTTAAATTACTATATACAATTGTTTATATTGATATCTTGAAATTTTATTTCGATGGATTTTTTTATTTATTTTTCTTTGGTTGGAAAAAGAAAAAGTATGACAAATCCCCGCCTTTGCATATGATAAAAATTGCTGAATTATGCAGGGATTTTTCTCCTTGCAAAAACAATACCAGCATTTTATTCATAATATTTGTAAACATCGTTGATATTATAAATTCCCCTAATTTTGTCTGATTCTATGTGCTTCAACTCATAACTATTTATCCGATTCTCATTGTTTACTATGTACGGACCCTCAAAAACAGGCATTAACTTTCCGCACATGTTGCTAGGTATGTTGGACACGCGCAATGCTCTCACCATTACCTTCTCACCTTTTTTGGAAGTAACTGGTCTTCTTTTTCTATTTTGGTCTTGCCTCTGGATATTTTATTTTTCGTTTGCTCTCCGCAATCTCCTCTGCACATTTTCTATTATCTGTGTGTATTCCTTTTGTTCTCTATCTTCCTATGGTCTTAGTGGCATTATACCCTTCATTATATATTCTGGGGTCTCTTTCGTTACAGTGCTCGGGATGGTATTTAGATACGTTTCTACTTCGGCGACTTTCCTATCCATCGTCGATGTTGACCCTCTGTTGTAATCCGTAGAAACTTCGTCACTTTCTGTATAAAACGTTCCGAAGGATTACTCTGTGGATGTCTGATGCTAACAAAATTTGTCTCTATTCCCCGTTCTCGAAGTTGTCCCTTGAAACGATCATTTCTAAAATATGTTGCATTGTCTAGAAGAATCCTTCTTGGTGTTCCTACGGTGGCTATAAAATTGTCGATTTTTCTCATTATTTCTTCCCCTTTCGTGGTACGGCAACTGTATAATTTTACATATTTGGAAAACACATCTACCATGACTAAAACATGTTTATTCCTCTTCGTCGTCATAATTAGATCGCTTAACATATCTATTGCTACAATATCTAATTTGTTCCGGGATATAATATTTTTTTAACGTTTTCATTTTTGAAATTTCTAATTTTATATTTTTGACAGATCTGGCACTTTTGTGTAATTTCTTTTGCGATGCGGTAATCTTGTCGGCAAATATAATTTTCTCGAAAAACCAGCCAGACTTTTCTGCTACCGATATGTCCATTGTCTTCGTGTAATTTCTGTATGATCCTTTCTGCCAATGTCTGTGTTATCACGTATAGTTCCTTTCCATCAATTCGTTTGAAAAATATACCGTTTTCCCTCTCCGCTCTTCTTTTTTCTCTTTCTTCCAGGTCTTCTTGATTTGTTCTAATTTCGTTTAACGAAAATACCCCTTCCTCTTGTGTCAAAATGTTCAATCCTACATGAAAAGCAATTGCTTCCTTTTTCCCCGAGTCTTCATCCCTTGTGAGAGCGTCGGCTATAATGTTGTCTTTTCCTTTTATATATCGAAACTCAAAGTCATACTCCTGTAGTAACAAAATGCCTCTATGTATACGATTGTTAACCAGACGATTTTTCATTATATGTACCAAAGCTGCATGATCAGTTTCGATTGTGAATTTTGCTCCCAACAGATAAAATCTTAACTTATTTACACAGAAAAGTACGCTAGCAAACTCTAGTTCAGTCACACTGTATTTTCTTTCGTGTGTTTTTGTCACCCGGGAAATAAAACAAATCGGCACTTCTTGATTGTTTTGTATTTGCGACAAAACTCCCGCAAATTTTTGTATGGATGCATCAGTTCGTAGTATGAAAGGCAAATTGTACATGGGGTGATATATTTTCGTTCCTTTCGAGAATTCCTCTTTTAAAATTTGAAAAGCTTTCTCTTGTTCTTCTTTCCAATTCCATTTAACACCCTTCTTCAATAATTTGATCAGAGGAATTTCCTTCTGGCTTAAATCAGGAATTAGTTTTTTAAAATAGTTGATCGTCCCGAGAAAACCTCTCAATGTTTTTAAATTCGTTGGTCTTGGGTATTCATCTATGAGTTTTACCCGGTCCTCGGCTAAACTAACTGTTTGTGTGTCCAATTTAAATCCCAAATATATCACTTCTTTTTGAAAAAATTGACATTTTTCAATATTCAGTTTTAATCCGGCCTTGTCCAATTCTCCCAAAATAATCTTTATGTGTTCCAAATGACTTGATGTATCTGGTGAATAAATGAGTAAGTCGTCGATGTAGTGCACTATGAAATCTTCATATTTATTTAATATTGTATGGAGAGCTCTTACCAATGCTGCACACGCACTTTGTAATCCAAACGGTACTACTTTAAATCGGTATACAATACCATCGATTGAGAAAGCGGTGTAATTTCTACATCTTTCTGCTAACGGTATTAACCAAAAACTATGTTTCAAATCAATTTTAGAAAACATGTGTGTTCCCGTAATTCTCCCAAAAATAGCTTCGATGTTGAGGGGTGATTCATATTGAGATACCGTGTGTTGATTTATATTCCGGGCATCCAAACAGAGCCTCAATTCTCCACTGCTTTTTTTCACAATCACGATTGGGTTGATGTACGGCGAGTCACATCTCTCTATGATTTGATCTTCTAACATTTTGTTAATTTCTCCTTTCACCTCCTGTCGGTATTTATATGGGATCGGATAAGTTTTCGATCGAAAATTTCCTAAGTCTTTAACCTCAAATGAATGTTCATACTCTTTGGCTACTCTGTTTTCTTCATTTATTAAATCTTCATACTTTCTCAATATTACACGCAATTCATTTTCCTTTTCTTCTCCACATATCAATTTTCTTTCTTTTTCCTCAATTTCTTTACACATATTTATTTTGTATTCTGCCTCCTCCATTTCGCATACTTCTTCAAATACCACTGTTTCAATTGTACCTTTTTCGTCTTCTTTTGTTAATCTTTCTTCTTTTTCTTCTTCTGGGCTCATCTCTTCTTTTGAGGAAACCCACTTTTCACTTTCTTTTGCCAATCTCCTCTTTCTTCTCTGTCCTTGTTTCATTGCCAAATTCATTTCCACCGTTTGTTCTTTGTCTAAATCATTTTTTTGTTTTTCATTTTCCTTTTCCTTTTTCTTACTGTCCTGTTCTTCTTCTTTTTCCTCTGTGATTTTCATCGTGTTATTTTTGAAATCTATCACCACATGTTTTTCTGCCAATTCATCCACTCCTACGATCATATCATGCAACATGTTTGGCATCACAACACATTGTAGTGCATAAAATTTCTTATCCAATCGTACTTTTATTCGTATTCCTTCATTTATCGTTGCCAAAGTCCGTTTATTTGCGCCCACTAAATTTACCTTGGGAATTTTGTAAATCAAATTCATTAAATTAACTTCCTCTATTAGTTTTCTGTTGATCAGTGTAATTTCCGATCCAGTATCAATCATAATTTTAATCGGTGTCTCGTTGATAAAACCATCTACAAATTTCAGATTTGCTCCACTTATTTTGTCCTTATTTTCTGCCAATTTAATAAATTCCTTCGGGTGACAAAAAATTCCTGTTTGTTTCTTTGTCCTATTATTGTAGCATTTCCTTCATTATCCGATCCTTCATCAATAATTGTTTCCTCTTCTATCTTATCCTCTTTCCTTTCTTGCGTTTTACTTTGACTCCTTGTGGTCGACATGTTCGTTAGATTATTTATCCCCGCCAAATATGAAAATTCGAGTAATGTTGCAAAGACGAAAACTTTTCCTCTTATCCCAAACGCAATAAATTCAAATAAATGCAATAAAATTTTAAAACTTTTGTCAGTTGTAAAAATCAATCAAATATCATAAATTATATCATGTAAAAATTTGTACCTAGAGAAATTTGAAATGTAATGTCATAAAAGCAAATATTATAAACTTTAACCATCGGCAAATAAATTTTCAATCAATCTGCTTTCTTTCTCTATCCGTTTAAATTTTAACTAGAAATACTTTCTACGCCTTACACGTTGGGGGCCATTTGTTATGATTGTTTATTTTGAGTTCAAACTTAGTTTATTGAGCCAATAAAAAAGAATTATAACTTATTTGTTATCAAAAGTAAAATAATCCTTATATTACCTGTGTTCGATGGATTCAAAAGATTTTCTAGTTGTCTTTTATCGGGATAGAGAAGAAAAGGATAAGAATACAAATATATTATATTACAAAGATTTACGTTTCTTTATTTTATATGAACGAATAAAACAATTATTAAATTCTGTCGTTATCTTATCAATCAGCATACAAGAAAATAAATCAAATTATTATGATAATAAGATTATAAAGCTACATACATTTATATTACGTGAAAAACCAATTTTACTTAAAATTTTCTTTACTTGAAAAAAGAAACCACAAAACTTTAAACTTTTGATTAGCCTAACAAAACCTCAGTTCTTAAATTTTAATGATAATGACCATGATGTCGAAACGATCCTTCACAGATATAAAATTCAATTGTACAAACACTTACAGTTTATTTTCTTCTTGAGTTGTATGTTGGAACATACCCAGAAAAGTCCAGTCTCCTCAAATATGTGATCTCCCCTCTTTGGCACCTCGGCTCCTTCTTTACGTCTCTGCAAACCTCCTTCAGACTACACAAAAAACACCTGATTCACTTCTCCAAACTCCGCTACTTATTTATGACACCAGGACCTCCTTTTGTCAACTTGCTGCCGTAAGAATACTTTCACATATACTTTATAAAATGCCCACGGTAGATACAAGGACCTCTTTTAATCCACTTGTTATCTCCTTCTTCAAACTATTCACTTCTTTTCGTTACGCCGGTATCCAAACTCACGAACCACACCCTATCTTGAGACAAACGACTGTTTCCTTTCGATGACCAAAATATGACTAACTTCTCCTCTCTCATGATCGACTCACCAAATTCCCATTTAAAAACGACCGTCCAATCAAAAAGCTTAAATTGTGTTTACCATGATTTTGGAAAAGCCTAATTTCGGTTTCAGAGAAAACTAAATAGCTTACTTTAAAATTGGTTTTTTTTTCAATACATCATTTATACATATTTCAAAAGATTAAAATATGGTCATTTAATACTCGACTATACAAACAATGAAAAGATTAACTTACAGGTAAAATGTCTTCTAATTCTAAACAAAGGTTTTTTGATAATTTTGTTTGAAACGGAAAAAGGTCGTTTGCCAAACAAATTTCTATTCTTATCTACACTAAATCTTATCTTAAATTACTATATACAATTTGTTTATATTGATATCTTGAAATTTTATTTCGATGGATTTTTTTATTTATTTTTCTTTGGTTGGAAAAGAAAAAGTATGACAAAATATATATATTATATATATATATATATATATATTATATATATATGTATATATATAACAGCTCCTATAACAGAGACGAGGATCAAGGGATGTTGTTAACATTGCTGCAGACCTTACACAAGATATACTTACTTACTTACTTACTTAATCAGTAGGCCCATTTGTACCTTTCGGTGTTGGGCCGTTTATAATACAATTCTTTATATTAAAATATTTACAATCTTCTAAAGTGTCCTAGCTCTTAACAAACTTTCTCCATTTCTTCCTATTGCATGCCATCTGTGTTGCTTCCTGCCAAGTCTTACCCTTACTCTGCAGTATCTGCGAGATGTCACTGTTCCATTCTTTAATGGGTCTTCCTCTTCTGTTCTTCTCTATTGATTCACATTTCAGAAAGTCACAACTCACATTGGAGAACAAAATACTGTTTTACAAAGTCATAGTAAAACCAATATGGACTTAGGGCGTAGTAATCTGGAGCTGTAACAAGCCTTCGAACATAAAAATTTTGCTGACCTTCCAATCAAAAACACTGCGTTTCGTTGTGAGCAGTACAACCATCTACAATGACCTAGGAGCACCATTCGTAAAAGATATTATAAATTCACTCCAACAAGGCTAAAATTGGAGGAAGACTTGGCCAGAAGACCAGGTCATATAGGTTGTTAACATTGCTGCAGACCATACACAAGATATACTTACTTACTTACTTAATCAGTAGACCCATTTGTACCTTTCGGTGTTGGGCCGTTTATAATACAATTCTTTATATTACAATATTTTACAATCTTCTAAGGTGACCTAGCTGTTGACAAACTTTCTCCATTCCTTCCTATTGCATGCCATCTGAGTTGCTTCCTGCCAAGTCTTACCCTTACTCTGCAGTATCTGCGAGATGTCACTGTTCCATTCTTTAATGGTTCTTCCTCTTCTGTTCTTCCCTATTGGTTTGACGTCCCACACTCTTTTTTACTTGTCTATTATCGTGCATCCGGGTTATATGTCCGAACCATGCCAATTTTTTCTCTTTGATTGATTCAAGAATCGGTTTGATTT